ATTGAAATTATTCATACATTAAAAAAATAGTAATAAATAAAAGGATTTTTATAAAAAAAAAAAGGTCACGGACGGAACGGATACTATTTTATAGTGTAAATTAAAGTAAAGCAATTATTTTTAAAACAGTTCTATTCATTTTTCTGTGATAGTCTATAGTTTCGGAGATTAAGGGAAAGAGATAAATGTAAAGTTTAAAAACCAATTTTTTTCTTAATTTATAATAATATTAACTCGTTAAATACATACAGTACACTTGTCATATTCAAAGTCCACATGTAATTCTTTGTCAACTACATAGGAATTATTAGTGCAAGATTATGGGTAATTGGGGCGAATGCCAATGATTTTCTATGTCCATTTTTCCCTCAACAAATACCTCTGCCGCTGCAGGAAACAGTTCTCGAAATATTATTGAATGTCCAATAATGAGAGAAGAATCGAAGTTTAATAAAGTCAGGAACAACTTACCAGCTACTGAAACCGCACTAAATAATGATGAGGTATCCTTAGTGGAACAATTTGTGTTTTTGCCTTTCTACGTCCAGCCTTCTTAGTTACTGTTGTTAGTGTATATTTTTTTTACTGTTGATAGTGATTATAAAAGTATTGTAGTTATACGGAGCATTTGCTAGTGGTCACTTGATTTGGAAGAAGTTTTCAAGTTCTTATATTAAATGGACGTAAGGAATTTATCCAAATTTATATGTTCGATACCTTCATCACAGTACCTCAATTTGATTTTATCTAACGTTGGTGTACAATAATAAATTTAGTATTAACAAAAGCTGATTCTTATTAATTAATATAGTAGGGGTAGATAGATTATTTAAATATATTTCTCACAGCATGCGTGCAAACCTTGCAGGACTATTCCCACTCCGAAACGTAGAAACAAACACAAAGCGGAAAAGTGGAAAAAGAATCGGAGAGGGATTGAATTTCGCGGTAGCGCGAACCCTTTCAAGCAGCGAGCCGATATTGTTAGAGCGGTATTAATCATATCTCGCAGGGATTACTGATAACATTCTTCTAACAGTCTTTGTGAAGAGTCACGCGTCCCAATTGAATTTGAAACAACGAGGTTGAATCATATTTATCTTTCAGCGTTGGGGAATTGTTTGCAGAATAATTTTCTCCCCCTGAAAAGGCTACTTTCATTCTATTCTATAACATTAAAGTTTAGCCAGCAGTAACAGGTATCATGTCAAAAATAAATCTTTGGTAGATCCAATCATCGAAAGATATTTTTTTCTTTCTCTACAACACTTAAACGATTAGATAAACAGTAAATTTTATAACATATTATATATATATATATATATATATATATATATATATATATATATATGAGCCTTTCAGTTGACAGGATGATTAGCTCCAATTTCAACATATTTGAGTAAAGTCATTTTATTGATATATCTAGTTACAAAATTTATAATGTCTGTACAGACAGAGAGTAAATTGATTCCAGTGTTGAAATATAGAACTGTGGATAAAGGTATATGTTTTCCCAATAAAAGTTTCACTAAACCCAATAACCTGACTTTCTCCAAAAATTTGTTATATTATTAAAAATATACATAAACATTTATAGCAAATTACAAATTAAAACAATTTACACTGACAAATTTAGTGATACTAAATTTTGAGCATAGTAAAGATGCCAAAAATATTTTTGTAAATGTTAATGCCAGACGAACAGATAGTCTGGAAGATTGAGCAAGACATCAGTGGGAATATAACATTATCGGTTTTAGATTCGACGTTACCTTTAAACTGCACGTTGGGGTTTTCGGATAATCAGCTTTTCATTTATTCAAATATTAATTATTAGTAGAGACCGGATATTTGTGTAGTAAAACCAGAAAATGTTAAAAATTACGTAGTAACACCTAACAACGTAATCATCTATTTTGTTTAATTTGTTATAATAAGAGAGCTGGTTTCCATAAACATTTTATTAGGTTTGATCATACTCCAATGTATTAATATATTAAATAAAATAAAATATTATACAATAATTTTTTAACTTAGGTTTTAGGGGAGCGGGGTAGCTCAGTGGTAGGGCACTGAGCTTCCAATGCAAAGGTCCCGAGTTCGAACCCCGGCTCATGGCAGACAATTTATTTATCTGTTTCATTGGCCGTGGGGCGACCTTGGGTCAGAAGTCCCTCCTGGGGCACACCCAGCCTCTATAAAGTGGGTACCTATAATTAATTAAGGGGGAAAACCTGGCGGTTGAGCGTGATCTCGGTCAAATCACCTCCTTGCACAACCGTTGACCTAGAAACAGTGCTTTCCCTAAATAGTACTGAACCCCAGACCCTTCATGGGTTGTAGTGGTACAGGTTTTAATTACACAATTTTAAATATTTTCTCTCTTTTTTACACGATTTTGCTCATTTTGAGTTTTTCGCTACACGTTATTTATATTTTCACTGCATTAATATCCGGTCTATAATTATTAGTAAGAGAGAAGTACGTATTTATTTACTTAAAATTAAATTCTATATACATTTAATTGGTGATTCTTAAAAAATAAAATAAAAATTTCAGTTCATTTAATATCCTTCAGAATCAGACGTTTGAGTAATTTATTATTTTCCTAATATTAAATATTATTATTATTAATTTGTTTTTTTATATTTCCTTCATTATAATACGGTGGAACAATGATGTAAGTCCAAACCATGCAATTTTATAGAAAGGATATTAAGAATTATTATTGTTATGTTATTAACATAATTTTAATTTATATTTTTTCTTTTTATTTAAATTTTGCTTATATTATAGTCTGACATAGATTCGATTAAATACGTAATTTTTGTATACATTTGAATTTAACATGATAAAATATTTTGCCATAATTTTACAGTTTCATTGTTATTCCACCAAATGAGCGTCGTTATGTTAATTTTTATTTTTTGCCAATTAGACATTCACAATGGATAGGGCTATTGATAATCGTATAATCGATTGAATATTATAGTCCGTGGACTGAACCTCTTTTATCAAATTACGAACATCCGCTTGAAACTTTGTAAATAGCTTCATCTCATCGTAACCTACAAATATTTTATTTACGAAAAATCTCGGAATTGGAGCGTTCCCAATCTGAAGATCAGCAAACTTTATCTATTTAATCAGGTACTAAAAACTCCCGAATAACCATTTCCACTTGAGTCGTACAATAATATGATCACAAAGTCGAAAAAAAGGTGGCTAAGAAAATTACTGGTCCGTTTGGTTTGATCTCCACCCCTAAAACGTCAAAATAAGAAGTTTATATAGGCCAAACGGCCCAACGTTTTTGTAAGACACCATTTTTTTTTTCGATTCTGCGAACATATTATCTTGCCATTCAAATGGGAATAAAATGGGTATTCACGAATTTTTAGTACCTAATAAAATAGACAAAGTTTGAAGATTTCCAGATCGAAAACGCCCTAATTTCGAGAACTTTCGTAAATAAAATATTTGTAGGTTACGATGAGATGAAGCTATTTGCGAAGTATTAGGCGGATTTTACTCGTTTGATAAAATGGGTCTGTATCACGAACTATCAGATGTGAGAGCCGCTCAGTAATAAATGTAATAAAAAATCTCAATACATGATAGTAATATTCAAAATTGTAACAAAAAGCTAATCATGAGTGAGTGAAAAATATAAACAAAAAAGAAAAAATCGGGCGTTTGGGCAGTGATAGAGGGAATTCGCTGACAGGTATTGATGCAGGCGTGGCGCAGGGTTCCTTGTTTATCGACCAATTAGCTGTTATTAATCGCCCCCACCCCTCGTTCCTATGTTTACAATTTTTCTCGCCGCGGTAGCAACAATTCAGCTCAGGTGGACATCACCCGTATCAGATTTTTTTTTCCCCGGCCTTATTGTAATTTTTTTTCTACACCGCCCCCTTCCTACGTATCACGTTCATGAAATTAAACCCGTATTTCATTTCTACCGGAACATGTTTTATAAAAACACCTGAGAATTAATCAGATAAATGCCGTGCGCTGTATGAATTTTTAAAAGCCTGGTGTGAATTCTGATAAGCTTAATTTGAATTATAATATTATCATGACAGAAAGAAATGCCGTGAAATAGCCCACGTAGGAAAATGTTGATATGGGATGATATAAAGTTTAAATAAATGTATATTTATCAAGGAGTCATAAATTATTATGATTTTTAGCAATCGAAACTGTGTGAAACCGTCATTAATTTTAAACAATTATGTGATTATTTTTAGGCGTCGGGATATAAAATCACATTATTTTTTCTCACAACTTGAGGTGAATCTTGAGTTTACAAAATTTGAGTGAATCTTATCAACTTAATTAACATACACTTATTAAAGCATATTAAAAGAGGAAGTTTTGTTTAAGAGTGGAGTACCTGTAGTATAGTGGGATGATAATTTAAAAAAAAAATCGGGAATAACTTATGATTTGCGTATTAAAACAGAACTTAGCTTAGTTTAGTCGCTCATAAGTTATCTTTAAATGTTTTTGACAATGACAACATCCATTCTTGTTTGAAGTACATTTTGTCGAGTTTACCATGAAACAATTGTTAATTACTTGAATCAAATATTTCTTTAGTTATCGCTTTATATTCAAGAAAATATGTCTTGCTTAAAAAAAAAAAAAAAACCTTATGGGATTTCACGATCAAGCTTATCTGCTTCTTGAAGTCTAAATGTTATTATTTTTTAGTTCAATTATATGATACAATTAGCTTAAAAAGATAAATGATATTAGATTCCACTCATTGAGATTCGTTTTAATTTTAATTTATTTACGTTTATATTAAGTTAACTCATTGATTTTAAGAAGTGAATGAAAATCTTCACAATCATGGATGTTGACTTCCAGGACAACTAACATATCTCTTTTTTCTGTTTTCGCTGAAATACATTGATTAGAGCGCTGAATCCAGTAAATAATTGTGAAGGAATATTATGTAACTTTCCAGAACGCACGTGCCGTGTAAAAGTATGAACGTAGAGAAAATAAATGACATATTTGATGAGATAAAAGGGAGGAACGGAAACAGAACAAAGAACAACGATAGGACATTACATACATTACCAGAGGACAAAAGGAGCCAGAAGAAGCAGTTTGATTAAGCAGCCCAAGGGGACTTTGTTTTATTTAGAACAAAACCGCTTTTAAATCTCTCCCCTTCATAAGGCCCCTTGGATTTATTCATCTTACTAATTACACGTCATCGCCAGCTTCCTTACTGTTGGGAGCGGAAGGGGGGGGGGAGAGTTAGCATTATACTTCACTTCCAGTCGACACTTATACAGAATGTATCCAATTTGATTAGCCACTCTCATAGATCTGAGAAATTATTATAAGTATTCAATATTAAGTACTTTAGAATCCAAGAAAAAAAAAATGTCAGTTAAATATAATTCTAAAATAAAATTTTGTTTATGTATATTAAGATCCGACTATGGTCTCAATTAAGATTAAAGTAAAATCTAGAAAAAAAATTACAATAAACATATACATTTTCCTACTGTAAATATCACTAAAATCAACAATAAAAAATGTTGAAATTGGAGTAAATCATTCTGTCAACTGAAAGGCTCATATATGACCGAGTATGATCACTGAATTTAAAATAGAAAAATAGATAGAAAATAAACTTTATCCAGAAACATGGTCCCTTAAGAATAATAATTATGAACAAAAAACGAAAACCATATCTGACCCAAAACTACATTAATAAAAATTAAAAAATATATACAATAAAAAAATATATGCCATACCTTCAGTGAAAATATATTAACAATAGAAAGTAAAAGATGTTGAAAAAATAAAACATTGAATTAAAAATAAAAACAGAAATTAGGAAAAATAAAAAAAAAATGTCATAAACACTATGAGTTGATCCTTAAAATTACAACTTAAACATTTTCAACAACCATTCACTTCAATAAAAACACGATTCATAAAATACACCGATCCAATAGCGGATTCAGGATTTCATTTTGGGAAGAGGGCTAAAATATATGAAAATAAATTTAAACTACAATTATGCTCTCCCCCCAAAAAAGAAATAAATTATATAAAATGAAGTATGAACACAGAAAGAATAACGTATTTTTGTTTTTATTGACTTGTGATATTATGGCATAATTCAATTTAAATAATAAATTAGGCTAAGATTTGGCATAAAAGATAATTTTATTTATATATATGTATAAAACTAAATTTTTAGTTTGAGGTAATAATAATATTACTAAGTTATATTGCTTTGTGCGGCATCAGTCTAAAGTTGAGGGATTCCTGTGAGTTTTCTGTGTACCAAAGTTACAAACAACACATATCGTTACGTTATTTTACAAGAATATAAATAGTTCAAGAAATGTATGAAATGAAACACATGAAACCGACTTGCTAGACGAGAAGACGAAATACTATGTCGCCTAGGAATCGGACATCGCGAGTTTTCTCATGGATACTTCTTGCGAGGATTGGAAGCCTAAACATGCACATATTGCCTAATATCCAGAACAGTGAAGCATATATTGTTAGATTGTAGTAGGTACATATAGTAGGTAGATATAAGAGAAAATCTACAAGTGGGAACGGAAATGAAAAATTTCCTGCAAGATGAGGAAAAAGAAATAGAAAACCTGTTAAAATATTTTAAATAAATCAATTTTTATCAAAGGATATAAAATTGACACAATAAGCCAATGATACTTAGCGGTTGAGGCTAAATAAATAAAAAAAAAATAGTTTTAAAGAATATTATAATAAAGTAACAATCGTATTAACTGTTGTAAGTTAACTTTATTAAAATATAAAATGAAATTCCAAGTTTTTCCAGCAAACGATATGCTCAAATAGCTGCTGAAATAGGAACAAGTTTATGTTTGAATCTTTCCCTCTCTGCCAACACCATGAATCTGGTTGATTTGCAGGCCGCAGATAAACCACAACCAACTGTGATGTACGAGGCTAAGGCAAAAACATACGAACCATGCGCAGCCACAAGTTGGAGTGCTTTCCCAGCGGGCGTATAGAGATAGCGAGGGCCAAACGAATGCCTTTTATTAAATACATAAAGACATGACGTGTAAGTGGCCGGGGCGAAGTGTGCGCAGCACGCGAAGGAAATAACTTATTTCCCGCCACTTACCTCCCACCTTCTATCTCTGTGGTTTAGTTAGTTCTCTGTCAGCGGTAAGTACCTTTCTTCCCCTTCGGACAGAAAATTGGTACATCTTTCTTCTTGTCTCTATATCTCAACAAATACGGACGTTTCCCTACGTCTGTTCAATAATAAATTTTATTTATTCATTAAATATATTCAACATTAGTCCGAATACGTCTATAGAATGTTCATAATCCGCAAACTAATAATTTTTCTTAAAAGCATTGTAAGGTGCATTTCTCGTTCTTTTCTATCTTTCTATCGTCTCTGAGTATTTTTTTTTTCTAAATGTGAAATATAATCGGTGATGGGGGTCACCTAAAGCTTTAGTTGACCTTATACTCTAAAGCCTACAACTAAATTTAAAAACTTATCTTATGTAAATTGTTGACAATGTTTTGGAATAAGCCGTTGAAAATAGGAGTTTGACAATTGTTCAGACTTTTCGGAAAATGATTTTTTTCGTTTAGTGACAAATTTAGCACTACTTTTACATCCTATGTTTTCGTTCTATGCATCGTGGTTTCTCATACTACTTTCCTGATTATTCCATTTTGGAAATATTGTAATTTTTTCTCAGTTGCTTTGCTGAAATGATCGAACAAAGATGCACATAGATGAGGAGCTTTAGGCGTAAAGATATGTTTGTTGTCCTAATTAATTTTGGAGGCACGTCTTAGATCTTACTGTTTTAATTTGTTTGTCAAAATGTCTAGTAAATATTAAATGTCTGTCGATAATATAATGAGTAATTTTATCTAATTACATTAATTAATAATATAATTAAGATATAGCAATATATATGAACGTTCTGACTATGCTTATCTGTAATGTGGGAGCGAAGTGTGTAAATGGATGAATCTTACTCAACGGACGATATTTAGTCTACTAGAACTTTTACTTTACAAGTTGGCCTGTCCTGGAATATTTTTCGGTGGCCAAATATGATAAGGAAATTAATATTACAAAATAATAAGGAAACTAAATTATTCATCATATCATGGTATGAAAAAATCATTTCTATTTTTTCGTTAATTGTAATCGACCAAGGAAAATAATGTTTTAAAACTTAATTCAAGTTGTAAACCAAAATGCTTAAGAATTACAATAATCTGTATTTCAGCTAATGATTGCCCGAATTCAATAGGTGTTTGTTTGTAAAAAATTCAGCAATTTTTCAAATAATCATGGGAACAATCATTTTAATTATACCGAAATGAAGTTTTTTTTATTCATAGATTTTTTCCTTGAACTTTCGGGTGGATGTGATTATTTTTCTCACCCGAGGAAAAAGAAGATTTTCAAAATGAGGGTTCAATCATTGGATTTGAGGAAGATATGGAATAGCGATAAAGATTAGTTAAAACCTAGCACGATTTTCCCCCACTACTATAACGCGAAGAAACAGTTCTTTATAATGTAATAGTAAAAATGAAAATATTAAAGAATAATTTAATCAGACAATTACTTAAGATACTAAAATGTCAGTAATGAATAGTATATCACTCTTAGTTTTTTTTACAAACATTTATTATTTTTATGATGGGAGAGAAACCCGATACGTTAAACAAAACTAAAAAAATAAGATTAAAATGAAAGAGAAAACAATTGCAATTAAATATACCTAAAATTACTAATGTTTTATTATAACCTAAGTTCCATTTCCACTCTATAGAGGATAAATTAAGATTTTTTAATCATATTTCTTTTTGTTTTGTTTTTGAACAGTAACATATGATTACGTACTTTTCAATCCTTGAGCCATCACTTTGATACCATTACAAAGTAAAAATTAAACTTCAGAGATAAAGATTGGGCAACAAAGGAAACTGAAAAAAATTTTTCGAGGGCAATATATATATATACTATTACAATCCCTTCTAAAAATATTCCGTCCAGTGTAATTAAAGTTTGAATTCTGAATATAATAATATAGTTTGCAGAAACCATACTTTGACAATGTTAGTTGCATCAGTTTTGTCAAAACTTTTATATATGAAAAAGTCAAACTCAGAAATTATGTCATTACTCCACCCAAATTGGTGTTTATATTTGAAAATTAATCTGTTTTTACCATCATTTTAATAACCTGAAGACTTAGAGTATAGTTTTTATAAAAATATAAATAATTAAAATTTTGTTTATATAAATATTAAAATTTTCTATATTTAAAGGGTTGAACAATTTATCGTTTGTAATATTTTATTTATTTCTTTACGCCAACATTTTTTTATACGTGTTAAATTCAAATGAGTAATTAATAAATGGTACAATACTTAACATAAGTAAAATATAACAACTAATTACAAGTAAAGTATAATAACTTTTCGCAAATATAAGTTAGAGTTCACAAGAGGAAACGTACCATATTTATAGTTCTGAAAAAGTATCAAGAACTGTTCTTTTTTTTATTGACTGGGAAAAGGTAACAATACTTCACCTGGCGGAATCACCCTTCAAGAGCACTGAGGGGCCTCTTCCAGACAGAGCTGTAATTGCCTAGGGCCAGCTAATAAGGAAATTCCAGTTAAGTGGGATCTAAATATAGGCTTGGTCAGATAGGGAAGGCTATCACGGGATCTCCCGGCATCAATCCCTAGGCGTTTCCTCCTTACTGCCCCTCCGCACGAACCTTTAGTTCTTATGCAAGGGTACTATACTACTCAGGGGGTTAACGTGTATGAACTTCAAAAGGTGGAGGAAAAGTTCAAACAACTTTAAAATTTTCTTCAATAGATATGAGCCTCAAAACTATATTATATAAATCACAAGATGATTCTGTGCAATAGCGTGTTAAGCAATTCTTGTATTTTCGTGTCGCTTTTAGATTGGATAAGATTTGATGCTGTCACTTCGGGATTTTGGATTATCATTTCTTCGTAGCATTGATTTACTCAAGCAAGCATTCATAACCCTTGGAATGCCCATTCATCTAATCCAAAATAAAAAAAGTCGTTTTGCAGGTGATAAGTATATTACATATATTATTATCAAATATATTATTAATTTTATATAATTTAATAAAATTCATGAAATAATTTGTTTAATCATAAAATAAAAAAATCAGTCATAGCGAGTAAAAACTGACATATGATCATTATTTCACACCTAACTTAGTTCACTGAAATCCTAGCATAAATCAAAGTTAATTTTTTTTTATTGTTTATACAATAAATAAGTATAAAATAATCTAAAAATAAATAAATAGAACACAAACATACCTATATACACTATTCACCATCACGCGAGAGAACCCTGAGCCAAAATTCTCCCTCCAACTGTATGAGGGAAAAGCATGACTCCAGGAGATCTTTGCACTTCTCTCTCAACCGCGTCACTGGGGCTAAACCCAGTGGAGATCGAGCGAGAGTGCTTTAGCCACATACACTCATGTCGTAAATTAACGAATTATAAAATACGCTATTTTTTTTAACTTTAAAAATTTCATGCGTGTACTTGATAAAAAATATAAAAAGGTTTTATTTTTTTTTATAAAAATGCCTGATGTTCGGTAAAAAATAACTTAAACATTATATGGATTTTTTTTTCATCCTCTGCCAACTCACTATAGAGGTGGGGAGAGATGGCGCTAGGATCTTGATGCTCTAATTTACCCCTAATATTCCTCCCCTCCCCTAATATTTTTTCATTTTTAAAACTACTGAAATAAAATCGACGAATATATATATATATATATATATATATATATATATATATATATATATATATATATATATATATATATATATATATATATGTGTGTGTATTTATATAATGATATATGATGAACTGAAGTCATAGTATATTTCATAATACATAAAAATCGAAACTCTCTTCTTGAACTAAAGACTAATGGTCAGGCCTCCAACCGTCCAGATGCCGATCGCCGATAGGGAAAACAAACATACATTGAGGAGAGGCGAGAGGACCACGTGCCGATAAGATGTGGTCTGGTCAGTAGCGATAGAGTTAACTCCTCGGCCGGACCCCCGAGCACGGCTCCCACATCCCTCATTCCGAGGATTAGAGCTCCAGTCGGCTACTTATATCGTCATGGATTTTATAAACTGAGCTCCATAAGAATAGTAATTTTCCAGATTTTTGTAACGATATTCTATTTTCTGGTCAAGCTAAAGATGCGAGATATACATACTGAAAGCAGTGAGTAATTCGAAGTTTGTTTTCTTATCTTAGATCATCTTATGTTGTCATATAATTCAATACCTGAACAATATTATTCAAAATTTCTAGTTAAGACATTCAAGTACATATCTCTATATACTATTTTTCAAATATATTTTTTCACAGTAGCCCCTATTTGCATTAATTGCTTATCGAATTCAAGTTCAAGATTGTATAATTATAACTCCTTCAGTTGCAGGGAATTAATAACTTCAGATGAAGTATAAATGGATTGAAAACAAATAAACCTATACAGCTAAAAAAAAGAAACTTTGGAAATTCGGATGATTAATAAATTCATTGGCCCATCATCCACATGCATATATCCACAATGTACACGTCATTGCTTATTTGAGAGCTTCACCCCTCGGAGATGGTATGACTTCCCTGGGGACTGAATCCGACTGGGGAAGCAGTTCGCATTGTCCTTATCTACATCCATACAAACCGTACTTAGTACATTCCTTATGAAAGAGAAAAAACGACAATCAATTATTTACTTATTGAATACCAGTTACTTAATTTTTTAATTTTCTTTGAAAGTGGTACTGAAAACGTAAGCTCCCTCAAGTAAACCATGTTTTTTTTTTACCATTTGAATAATAATAAATGCTTAAATATCTAAGGAAATAACATTGATAACAATAGAATTCAGAAGAAAAAAAAATTCAGTCTTGTATATATATTTTTTTTTAACTTCAATTATTGATCTCAACCAACAAATTGTTGACAATGAGCAAATAGTCTGATGGAAATAATGAAAATGACATCTCAGGCATGGGGAAGTATAGCACCCAGCAGTAGCTCTTCAGTTGCTTGATCCAATCACCTCGAGTTTTCAAAGAAAAAACATATCTCATCCTGACCCTTTTCAGTCTTCTACTCGTATTCCGCGGCATTTGGATAAAATTAATCTGTATGTAGTATGTTAGTATGAAATCGTTGGTTCTTATGTATTGGTCAACTATTAGCAGATGGAAGTCAGTGTGTGTGATGATGATGTTTACAAACCGTAGAAATCGAAAACAATTATTATCAACAAGAATGCTACCATTTTTCATATTGGTTTAAAGGATTTTTCCCATTGAGGCTAAACATAAGAAATGATTTAAACTCAGGATTCAAGGAATGAAATTATCACAAGTCAAAACATAGCGTAAATGTAGATACCTATTGAGCAAATAAAAATGTGTATAGTTCATATGTATATCAAAACTTGTATTCGTAACGTTTGGGGAAAATCGGTTACAATCAGTATCTATATCTATTTACTCGAATTTAACTGTCATACATTACGTTGCTCCGTTTTGAAAGAAAAGTGCTTCGCCGTATATATGGTGGTATATATGAGGGAGGCGCATGGAGAAGAAGAACGAATGCTGAGTTAAGAGCGAGGTACAAAGAAATAAGACGTATCAACATTCTTAAAGGTATCAAGACTTCGCTGGGCTGGTCACGTCATAAGGATGGACCCAAACGAAGTTCCTTACAAGATCTTAGCTGGGCAAATGTATGGTACAAGGCGGGTTGGACGCCGCAGACTTCGGTGGGAAGACTGCGTGGCTACAGACGCGAGTTCTCTGCTCGGTGTTACGAACTGGAAGGATGCAGCACGGAACAGGGAGGACTGGCGGTCTAAGCTTGAGCAGGCTATGACTCAACTAGTGGGTCGTAACACCGAATAAGAAGAAGAACATTACGTTGCAACAAGGTCGATGGAAGGGTTTTACACAAATGGCATTACTACCCTGATTATTTTGAGCTATCCCAACAAAACTCAAAAAGAAATGGCTTATTTAAGCGTTTTCAGAAAAGACCGAACAACATTTTATAAAGACTACATATTTTTTTTTTCAATTCCATTCACACACGCTACAACCTGAAATAGTTGCAATAACATTAATATAATATAGTAATTTACATTTTAATGATGAGTTAAGCAAGAAGATAGTGGATGGTATCTTGTTGCAAAAGTTTCTTATTTTCTGTAAGACTTGATTGGTTGCCGCATCATTATTTAATTATTAAGCTTTAACTGAATTTACGAAATATTTTTAGAGTACGGTGCCCAATTTAAAAGGCTGGGAGAGAGACAAGCGTGAAACAGTAAAAAGCAGACACAAGAGGGGATGTGGAGGTGGGGAGGTGAAATTGACGCACACCGCAACAATAGCGGTGACCAGGGCGCTGATTGGCCAGCACAATATCGTCATTACTGGCGGGAGAGGGCCCATTGAAGCCCGCGGGCACATATTAAAAATATCTTGTCTCAGCAGGAGTCATCGATCCACCCTCGGCTGCCCCTGACATCTCCAATCGAGGAGTGTGAAATGTACCCTGTCCGTTCTACCCTGACGGTCTGTCTGTCAGCCGCGTGTCAACGTAGCCAAATCATGTTCAAAAAACACGCTCTGAGGGAATCCTCGCAGTATTGAAAAGTTAATTCGGAATATCTCGGGTATATTGTTTCCCTGCGACCTGTCAGAAACAATTGTTTTGACTCGGATGAGCTTTTTGAAAATACAACAATTCTACGAATTTGTTTAGCTTTCTTTTGAAAATACTGAGATCCGTGATTTTTTAGCAATGAAATAAAAATAAAAGCTGGTGTGGTGCGCGCACCACACAACACTCACTTACCACCCTCTTCTTAGCAGAAATAATTATTTTCAACAAAGGGTAGGTAGGTATTCACCTAACTTTATAGACGCCTTAATTATTTATATTTCATTGTGGCTATTTTTATTTGTTTAAGTACCATATATAAACAAATTTTAATTTTTATATCGCTGTATTCTATACAATTAAACAATAAATAATACTAACGATAGTAATAATGAAAACCACATATGTATATTTATAAAATATTGTCGGAGTCCGTATTATATTAAGTTCATGTTACGTATTGAAGTCTGGTCTAATCTTTCGGGCTAGCACGGTTGCGCTCGTATTCCTTTAGTTCCTCCATTAGAACTATTTTCGTTACGATCTTTTATTTCTCCTTTAGTTAATTATCAAATTCATTCATGTTTTATATTTAACTATTTTTTACTATAGAGATCAATTTGAAATGGCTAATTGTTCCAAATAATAAATATTAAAGGTACTTTAGGGGAAGCTATTATTGAAAATTAGCCATTTAGGATCTTTTAGAGAACATCAATGAGAAAAAAAAAACATTATATTAAATAAAGATTAATTTTTACAATAATATAATGAATTTAATCAAAATCGTTAGATTAGTTTTCGAAAAAATCGTAGAAATGTGTTACATAGATGAAGTGCCCCTTCCGATCAACCGACTTTGATGAACAGTTGCTGTAACATCTCAGGCATATAAAAACCTTAAAATGCTATTTCACTTTAGTACGAATTTTCTGACACAGACTGCTAACACACACCCATGCACAGAGCATTTTGCGGGACTCGGTTATTTGGACTCAGAGGACTTCAAAACGTATATTTCCGTTGAAAATGAGATTCAAAAATTTTCAATGATGCAATACTTACCTTTACTATCCATTTCATATAGTTGCAGATAGTAAGTGAAAGTAAAAAGTATATAGGAGACGTTCTACTTAAAATATACACTACAGTTGTCTATTTGTGGTAAAAAAAGCATTTGAATCAATCACAGAAATTGGTTCAAGTGCAGAAAGTCCAGTTTTCAATCGAATGTAGATCGTAGGTAGAATAGTAGACGAAGATGGTTAGGGTGTGATCATAACATAGTGTGCCAACGTTTCGCCCTAAATTAGAGCAGAATTCACTACACAAAAAATTAAGATTTCTTCATTACGGCGTCTCACCGAACTTCTACTGGCTAATATTCAGCTTAAAAAAAGCTCAATCTCTGTATATATTTAGCTTATATGAGGAATACTCATCGATGGTAGTTAGTTGTCTATAAATAGCACTCAAAATTATGGCTTATTTAATTAAAATAAAGTAAATTTATAGCAAAGATGATGTTTCAGCCATAATATAGTTCATATATATATATATATATATATATATATATATATATATATATATACTTTTTATTTATTTGTAATAGAAACAAAATAAATAATGAAAAAACGAGTGAACTCATCAGGGGTGGACCGAGATGCAAACGAGAGGATCGGCATAAGTAAGATCTTGCTGAATGGCATTTTAAAAAATATAAATGGAAGTAGATATGTAGGGAACCAGGGAAGATATATCGGCATCGAAACTGCGAGTTCACAAACCATTTTTTTTCTATTAAGGTTCTTTCATATATTTCTTATTTGTATTAATATTGACAACATGCTCAAAATATTTAGTTGTAATGAAATATTAATACCATTTTTCACATGAATTAAATTTCAAATGGCGGAATTGTGAAAATAACCGAATAGAAAAAAAAAATCCTATTGCTTAGAATCGTCTAAGATAAGATGGTTTCCCGAGAAAAAATTAAATAATTTTCCCTAAATTGTGGAAAACATCGCCTCCATGATATGTTGATATAATTTTACCGGTGACTAATACCTACATGTGTATAGGCAATCATACATAGAGGACGGAGCGGAATGTTGGACGGTAGGTTAATAGAATTAGGGGCGACAGGGGGGCATGACGTCAGGCCCCTAGGGTAAGGTCTCATGTTTGACAAGAGGATTGCCTCTTTATTGCTAGGACAAATACAGTCACTGTTTGCTCTCACAGCACCAATAACTCACTCCAAGATATTAAATTCAGTAATAGCTTTCATCGTTTGCTTAAATAGCAAAGAGGAATATTTTATCTAAATTTTGTTTACAATACCGAAGCTAATTTTCCAATGTCGGATCTACACGACCGGTTAGTTTTGCATAAACATACACTATAAGTGTTTGCCCTGTCCGCTTACGTTCATAAATTAGTCTTTTATCAATTTACTAATTAATGTTGCTAAAATAAATAGATTGAAAATTTCAATATTCAGTCACTACCTTTTTTTTTTTAAGTATGCTTCCCTTTATCGGCTTCCGCCATCAGAGATCTTGCAGCCTAGTACTATTCTGATTTGGACGACTTGGTATCCCATATGTTCACCAAGCGGAAGCTTACACCTAAACGCGCTGCGTCCATCTGTGCTCCCGAATTACATAGGTTGCAATGTGGAGATTCTGCCACCCCTATTCTATGCAGGTGCTCCCTAAGGTAGTCGTGGCCTGTTATCCGGAACTGCCACAGCTTCCTTTCTCGGCAGGATCATGGGAACTCGATCCGCTTCATTAAACAATTTTCTGCATTACTTCTCCACAATACAGTTCTTCTCGATATCCAGTAGTAGAGCCTCATTTGCCTTATTAATTTATTATTTCAGTAACTACTGAAAAAATCCTTTCATAAAAACCATGTTTTGAGAAATGAATTCGCAATTTATATATGCTGAAACTGGAAAAAATATAGTACATATGATTTATTTTTAGCCCCAGATAGAATCAAACCTCAATGAAGGCCTAGTTAGTGCGAAATGAAAATAACATGAACTACTCTGAGATTCTTTAATTCCTATAAACATTGTTTTGAACTTTTTTCTTAACTATTGCTTCCATACTTCAGAAGGTAAGGAGCATTTGTTTTGGTTCAAGAAGTTTAAAAATATTTAGTCCTCAGAATGGAAATTTTCAGTGATATTTTAGACAGAAGAAGAAGACTTTGTGTCTGTGTCGGTCTCACGGTCATAATCGTTATCGTTAATCCGTTATTTATGTCATTTTGATATGTTTATATTGATGGCACCATATCAACACCCACTAAATCGCTATATCAGTTTGACATAAAGTTGGAGAGGAATGTTAGAGAGTGGCTAAAAGTGGTCTACCACAGATTTTGCCAAATTATATCAGATATTTTCGATTATACATGCTCTGATGTATTTTCCTCGAACTAATGGTAATTAATATCCCAATAGAACTTGTGAAGTTAACCTGATCCAGCTTTTTAAATATTGCTACGTTTTTCTTTGACTTAAAAATCTTAGTACATATAAAAAGCGGATTTATTTGATACTTTAAGAAATAAGTACATTATTGCACGAAATGGGGAAAAGATAATGTGTAAAGGACATTTACCACCCTCGTGGATTTACCTTTCATTTATATGTCTCCGGGACATAATGGTGTGGGGTCCACACAGAGTTAGTACTAAGCGTAACGCTGACCCTTGGACCCTATCCTCCTCCCTAACATATAGTGGTACAAATGACGTAGGCTATAACCAGCAAATGTAGAAGTATCGCCGGGCCGAGATAACTCCTGTTCCTGTAAAGATGACAAATCCTCGGACAGCTAAGCCTTATGGTCCAGCCCTTTGTCTTCATAACTAGGGTCTCCTACATCGTCATAATTAGACCAACAACTCACACCTCCTCTTTTGTTAAGGGTATTTGTTGTGTCATCTAGGCAACAATTAATACTCGAATAAAGACGACGATAATGAATAAAAACACGACTTAGGAATAAATATTATGAAATCTGAAAATGCAGTTAGTAAAATAAATAAATTACCGGACAGGTAAAAGATTTCCCATTAAAAAATATAACGCTAATTTTTCGCTCATTATTCTTGAATTTTACACCTCAATTTCATCAAAAAATTATAAAAATGTGAGGTTTTAAGTTTTTTCATGTAAAAAGTATAATAGATAATATTTAAAAAATTCTACCGTCTGTTGTTTGTGGTTTTATTCAATACAAGGGATAGGTATTTTTTTGGTTAGGCTCCAATGCTACAGGTCAACTCACAATGTTCAGTATAAACTCGACATTACCAGTAGTCTCCACTAATTATTCTGAAGTCTATAAAATCAAAGAAACAAAAAAAGATAAATACTTAGATTTATGTAAATATATTTTTTAATCGACGGAGTTATCTATTCGAAATAAAAAAAAGCAAAAGAAACTCTTTAATTTATTAATTATTATTCTTTTTTGCAACATCAAATAGCACAGAGTTCTATAAATCACGAACTTGATGCAAATGCCCACAAATGAAGGTTAAAAAAATGATTAGTTAACAGGCCCCATGAAAAAAAATAAATAAATAAGGTGCAGAGTCAGGCCCGTTTGGTATAGTTAATTACCATCACGGAGGCCTGACATACCAAATATAACATCTGACATCCCACCCACTCAATGTCACAGTATGAGTGTCAACTGCAGATTCATTTTTTTGATATTAATAAAGAGGTGCAAATAAAAAAATTTAAAAAAGGATAGAGCAAAATTAAAATAATGAAATATTTGACTGTACATTAAATGGTTGTTGAGTTAGTTGAGGCTGCATCCTCCGAG